TTTTAAATTTATCCGAAGTCAGACATGAACTATGAAGACATTCCAATTTCCGCATACTTTTTGTCACTCATCGGTCTCTATTAAATGTACTAAATTATTTTTTAATGTGAAAAATGAATTATACACTTATGATCGACACAGAATTTCCTAACACTTCTACTACTACTATTAATATTATTTGATAAAATTACAATTTTGATGTGAATAAGTTGTTTCGGATGCTTATGTTGCAACTAATCATTAAAACAGAAAAGTGTAATTAAAATATTTCCTTTATCTGTTAGTTGTATATATAGGAAAAGCGATCATCTGAAGAAGCTATTGAAAAGTTTCATTATTTTTAAAAAAAATTCTAATTTCTTTCTTTTACGCATAATATGATCATGTGATTTGCTGTTTTGAATGCAAAACATCTAATTAATATAGATTTCTAGGCTGTGTTTATGTAATTGATTAGAGAAAGTCATAGCTGTCTAGCATATCTATCGAAGATTTCAAGTAGATACACTTTGGGATAAGGTTGGATATGAAGTGATGTTTTGAACTAAAAAACATTGGCCAGAGTAGAAAAAAAATTGAATTATCCGCTCAGATATGATTATCAAACGAAATAATAATGTGAGAAGATGTAATTGATCTGAAAAATGTGATTTATTTGCGCTATACATTTCTAACAATCTGGTCACACATATACTTATGAGTGTACAGAAACAATTTGTGATAACCTTGAATTTATCCTGGTAATCTTCAAGCCATTGTATGGCCTGAGGTAATGTGACAATTTGCTATCCTTTTTTATTCTTTTCATATTACGTTAATTTTCTCTCTCTCCCTTATTTACAATTATCACTTAATGTCTATTTGAACTTTTATTTAATTGACCTTTTATTAATCTTCATATAAGATGATTTGACAAGTAGATATGTGTGACCAGATTGTTCGAAATCTATGGCGCAAATGCATCACATTTTTTCAGGTCAGTTATGTCTTCTCACAGTTCTGTCAAAGTTTATAATAGGGACTTATTGCTTTGAAATAATAATGTCTGATCCTTTCCAAAAATATTAATAAGTAATACTAAAGATATAGGGGTTTTAAAATTTAATGCTTATCGAAATGTATTGCTTGAGACCGAACTTATTAGATTATTCAAAGCAGTTTGACGATTGTTGATATTTTCATTGGTGAAAGTGTACTTTGTGTTTGTGAAATAGATGGTGGACATACCTGATTTGCTTCTGTATACGCTCCTAGAGTTGGTGGACGAGCACTGTTGAGGAGTTCCATACTAGGACAAGTCTTCATTAGTGGTGGAAATTCAGTAATCTTCAAAAGACCTTATACTAAAAATAAATACTTAATGATTCCTTTGCTCAACATTTTGTTGTACCGAATTATGTCATCGTAACTGCCACATCTGGGGTATATTGATCATTAATTTTTGTTTATAAAATGTAAGAACAAGAAAAATCTACATACAACTGATATTTAAGATATTCTATTTTACATTCCTGAAAGAAATCTATTCAGAAATTACAGTCTGCTAAATTTAATTATTACCACAAATTGACATTGGTTAGAGAATGAACGAGAAGCAGAGAACACTGATGAGCTGTCTGATGACTGTTTGGGGCTCATTAGTAGTAAAGTTAAGATTTCTACATGACCGTTCATTATGACTCGTATGGTCTCTAGTCAGTCGATATAAGATAAAGTCTCTGAAAATCTGGGTTCCTGTGATATGAATAGCTTTCAGTTTTGGTCGGCGGAACAGTTAAATATTAATGATACCGATAAATGGTTATATTACTTTTTGAAATGAACCAGCAAAATTAATCCCAAACAGAGTATTGCTCTAACTAGCTTGGCTACTTTATTGATTTATGTGGCCACAGTCGACTAGTGTTCAGGGTTCAGAAACTAAGACGACGTAGCTGTCTAATATCGCTTATAAGTTCTGTAGTCATGCTGTGTGAAGTCTTTGTTACCGAATTGCAACTTAAATCATCAAGTCGTCATAGCTGTGTTATCTTAAGGATTTTAGATATCCAGATTTTATATATACTCAAGCGTTCCTATCGCAAAGCTTCACAACTTATTCAACAGAAGAGTATTTATGAACTTTCCGTGGAAATGTCTGCATAACAAGATAAATGAATCACCAGGAAGCCTACATAACCTTCAAGAACACAACTACAATATAGGTGGCTTGTACAACTTTTTAATTCGATGACTACACAAATTTATATGAGAACATTAATAGATTAAAGGTGACCTTATAATAATAATAACAGGATGAATAAAATGTGTTAATGCAAGTGGAACGGATAGAGATGCGAAAATTAAGAAGGGTAACGTACTACTTAAAAATACTGAGATTATCAACCAAAAACCGTAAAACTTTATGATAAAAGGTAAACTTTGCCAACATAACGGAGGTAAAAATCACAATGATGAAAGTGATCTCATGAGTTCATTTCATACAAAAATCTGGCTTTATCTTTCTTGTCACTAACGCCCTTGATATGTAACGGAGTTTGTTGATTTTAACACTGAGATCAAATACCAAGTCTGATACCGAATGAATGTTATAGAGTCTAAGATTGTACAAAAGTTCACTTTCTATTCCCTTGTCATTCTGAAAGGTTCATCCTTGGTAATTGATGAGTTATTCGTCAATGAACTAGCTATAAAAATTACATAGGTGGCTCCATATGATTAGGTGGACAAACAAACGAAATCGTGAACTGATCAATGTTAGACCATCATTGAAAACCTGGAAGCACTGGACGACCATTTCGTTGTAGTATTAGGATCCTCAGCAGTGCAGTTTCACAATCTCACGCCGGAGTGAATGTCCTGTATTCTATCGCTGAGTGCAGGATCGTGGATGCGCACTGCTTAGGATCCTAATACTAGGACGAAATGGTCGTTTCGAGTTCTCCCAAGTTTCTAATGGTGGTCTAACATTGATCAGTTCATGATTTTAATGAAACTTAACAATTTCCACAACCTTAGACTGATAAATAAATGGAAATCAAATTGGTTAAATGAGACAATAATTTTTTTTAATTCTGGTTTGCAATTCTAAACTATTATTGTTAGACGCTCTCTCTGCGACTAGTATCGAATGTTTCTTTCAGTTACCTGGCTAACTAACTTACCAGAATTCCGTCAGCGAAACCCTAGCCGAATTCCATCATTTATTGTTATCTCTCAGTAACTAACTGAGAAACAACGCAAGAATATTTACTCCAGTGGTTGTGTTCTTGATGTGTAATCTTACACCTGTCCCATAATTTCGAATTATTCTGATGACTCATTCATTTAGCCTCTGGATAAAATCATAAATTAAACGGATTTGTATTTGTAGTTTAGATGGAAATCGGTTTATTGGATGTTTTTATATTGTTTAAACATTAAACAGCTACAACATGGAGTCTTCGTTTTTGTTATCGTCGTTAATGTTTGTTGAATCTGACCACTGTACACAGATTTTAACCTATGATATGGAATGTGGTTTTTTCATTTCAGTAATAATGTTACACAATTAGATCCAAATAATTTTCTTTGTTTTTTATTCGACCGCTTATAACTTACACTCCGATCGGATTATCATTGAGGAAGGAGTTGAAGATGTTTAGCATGGATGTGTTAGTTTTTATCAAACCCTTTTTATTTTGGCATATATTTGTTGGCGATCGATAAAATATACATATTTTGCAACTAAAGCACAATATTCATCTGATAATACTTGTCTTTTAAGCTAGTGTCGAACAGATGTCTGTTTCGTTTATAACCTTGGAAGTCATTATTGCTACACCTGACCAATTTTATTGACCAAATATCCAAATATTTTTATCAAGATATATATATATATATATATATATATATATAGTGCATACAAGCAAATGTTTTACAACAGTCAAGAGATTTAAATATCACAATCTGTTTATAAAAATGTGACTTGAATAGCTGAATATGTATTTGTTAAAGAACACTTCAGTATGAAAAATGTGCAACAAACATGGCGCTAATGCTCCTAGTATTTTTATACATTCTTCAAACAGATGTTAAAAATAAGTGAAACGATAATACGATAGAGTCTTGACAATAAAAAAATAAAATAACAGTATAGTGTTGTAGATTGGAATAATTTGTGCTTCATATAGTTGAAAAAATCGAATTAACTGGTCAGTTAGCGATAAGTTAGCATTCATGCAAAAAGTTAACAAAGACGTTCCTCGTATTTCCTATACACACCCATTTCAGAGTGTCATTTTAAACTAGTGAATAACAGAATAGTTTGACATTTGTGAAATTTATCGACTCTGTATGGTCTACAGTTGTCAGCATTCTCAAATTTAAAATTATAATGTTGTTTATAGTGAAATTAGAAAATACTAAAATACCACCACTTCAGTAGGAAGAAATTATAGAATATTATTATTATTATTATTATTATTATTATTATTATTAGTTAACCGTTTAAACATAGTATCTTTCATCCTATGAGAACATTTTTTATGAATGCTCTTTGTATAACTTGATTTCTATCAACACGATAGCTAGTAATTCTATTTTAGGTAACATCGAAGGAACATCACGAATACTGAGATCTACAAAGTATTCGCTTATTTAATTTTTTGTAATACTTTATTCTGCACATCTTTAAACTCTTTTAAATCCAACTTTTAGATGCTAACATATTATTAGCATTGGTAAAATTTATGTTAATTTATTTGTTTTAAAATAGTATGTCACATGACAAACTAGTTCTAAGTGGTATAAAAAAACAGAAATTTTATTCAATAAGCACGTTTAAGAAGTAACTGAAGATGCAATTACTATTTTTTTTCTTTACTGAATTTCAGATAATAACATGCTTTTTAAGTATTCTACAAAGAAAAGTTATTTATATAAATTTGGATAATTATGCAATTTAATCTAAGTGAATTAAATTGTAACGAAAGAAAAAACAGTGTTTGCATGAAATAATTTATATCAAACTAGTGAAACACACACCAGTGCTCTGACCAGTTTCACGAGGTAACCTACACTAATAGATCGCATCAATTAAACGGTGTGTTTCTTCTGTTTTATCCATCCATTTAGTTTTATAAATTGAATTCAAAAATATCAGTTTTTTGTATTTATTCATTCATTTATGATTGTTTGAAATTTGAAAGGTCATCCGAATGAGAGAGGAATTTTCGGAGTAGACAATCAAAGCTGATAAATAATGCAAATGTAGTTTATACAAATCAGTAACCAGTTTTAATTGTTAAATTATATTGTTGATAGGAAATATATATATTTAAAAATCATTTTAAAACTTACTGTTTTGCAGTGAAGTGGTCTATCCTTATCTCGTCAAAACTGAGAATTACGCGGCAGTTTACTTCTAGGATGCTATTTCCTTTGAAACTGTTCAAATATTTTGACTGAATTACGATAAATGATAAACGACTGTACTACTACACATAATTATTTCTATTCAAACCACAGTAAAATGATACAATTAGATATATTTAAAACATCATTATCCCCCCAAAAAAATCGTTTATTTTAAATTATTATTTCCAGTGTTTATCATAAATATATATATATATTTTTATGTATATATTCGCTTGGATCAAACTCATCTACATATTTATATACTTTATGTGTATATGTGTGTTATTGATGAACATTAGTTTTCCGTTAAATCATTCAACTTTTAGAAAATTACTTGTGTATATATTCATTTCTCGATGTTTGCATTCGTAATTCAACACCATTCAGTGAAACAATTATCTCACTCTCACTACCCTTCATTTTTGTTCTTTTGTCTTCAATTTTTCCTCAGATTTCTTCTTTTTAACAAAAGTCAACAGCTGATTGGTTTATCCCAATGCAATGACCAATCATAAATTTTTTTTGAACATTTTGTATAATAATAATAATAATAATAATGATAATAGTTCGATTCAGTTTATAATGTTTTGATATTAGTGTAGCAAAATCTAGGCTGCACAAATGTATGCAGCAAATGAGTTAGTTGTTTAGTTGAATAAATCGATCAACTGAGGACAATTTGAGATGAAAAGTGTCAGTGAATTTAATTTACGTTGAATGGACGACAGATAATAATGACTTAAGGCTTATTCCTAATGTGTCTTGGTAAAAAAAAAAGAATTGTATTAGAGTGATATGTTAGCAGCTCACGTGTGGTTTCCTTTGACCGTTTTCATTAACATAAATAAACAGGGGAATAAAATATTTTCAGTGATGACATATCGCAAGAATTACTTAATCCAATATCGCCGAATCGGTGATTTCTTCGTAGGATTAAAATGACGAGTTTTATTTAGTTGGCCTATTTATGCTACGTTTTCTCAGCAGGATAATTAAACTGTGAAGTTTTATTTCTATTGCTGAATAATGCCACAAACTTGAAGTAAAATATTCAACAATATTGTAAAGGAAAGCGACCGGCTGCAAAAAAAGCCACCAGTCGATACTTGAAACAAGAGACGATGATGATGGCATAGACAGTCATTGCAATTAAACCGAAAACAGCCACCTTCTCATTAATTATCCAATAATCATATCATAAATTTGGGGTTTATTTCTGAAACTTGCAATTGCGTTTCGAAGATTAATGTACTTAAAAGATAACCTTTTAAAAATACTTAATTAAATCTTCATGAATTTTTTATTAAAATTTAAACGATCGATTACTAACACGAAAACAAGGTATAAATCAATTTTGAATTTTATAAAATCTGTTGAGAACTAGTATCGAGTTCATGTGGTAGCATAAGTGTTTATCGGCTTAAATTATTATCCAGTCACTTTTTTTTAGGTTTTGAAATTATTTCTTAACAAAAATGTCTCTAATTATTCATCCTATTACTGTATCTCCAAACACATGATGTGTGAATACTAGTAGTTTGCTATATTAAATAAAAATGTTTTCATAAAGTGAAATGAATGAACTAGACCGTAAGAGACAGCATAAAAAAAGTCATAATTAAAGGAGAAGTTAATGATTACCAAAAAAAACTGCTTTGCATAAGACAACGAATAACTTGGAGCTTCTTGTATCGTTAACATTGACATGACAAATGCAAAACATCAATCAGAATTACGTTTAATGCCAGAAACAATGAGTCAGCTGTAAATCTTTATCGATGTACAACTTGATAGCTCCTTTCTCTCTACCTTGAAACTTTGTCCAGCTGTCTGTAGGCAACATTCACAAAGTTTCGTTAAAATTGAAGAAAACATAGTTTATACCCAAAAATTATTCCAGACATCCACACCGTATAGAATGAGAAAGACGTTTAGATATATGAACAAGTCAAAAGTGGCTGCTAGTAGAGAAGTCTGTAAATAATAAACTAGCATTTGGTTAGTAATAATAAATTAGACTGTAGTAGTTAATGCGTAAATCAAAAGCTTGTGACAAAAGGAATACAAATATATGATAATTTGCTATTTATTAATTACGCAATGAGAATACATATTATAATATTCCATAAATCATTCCTCGAAGTTATCGTTCCTCTAATCCTCCTTCAGATATTATACACCCTAACTTTTGTATGCAGCTATCTGGTACTTATTCACTGATTAGTGGTTTGAACAGTTGATACTGAATTTCATAAGCCGAAAAATGAGAATTTCTAAGTAGTCAAGGATTCCGCACTGTCATATCACGTTTCACCTCATGAATCGCACTTAAATACTTAGTGTCTTAATATAACTCTGCTCAAGTTCTGTGGACTTATATTCACAGTACATTTAGCGTTTTTGAAAAATTATGAGCTTCAAGAGATAGGCCATATAGGCGACCACTACCAAATCACTAATTTCATACCACTGAAATAATTTACTTTCTGGCATTTGCAACAAGTAAAGACAGTGCTACATTTTACCCATTTTTAACATGCAGTAAAATTGCACATCTATTATATGAGCTAGTACTAGTACTAGTGGTTAGTCATCTATTGTCCAATTACAAACTGTTACAACTTGAATGGAATTTTTTTTCCTGTCTACAGACATTGAATGTCAGCATATTGATTTAATTAATATTGACAGAGTTTGAAATTCAATTTTCTATCAATTAAAACTGTTACATTTAGTGTTGTTGTATGCTTGGTCACCGTGAAGAATTCACTATATATCAAAAAGTTCATTGTTAGTCAAAAATATTTTTTGTTTAACGTGTGTTTCATTAGTATTTTCATCATTCTACTGATTATTTTCTTATTCCATAATGGAAAAAAATGAATGATTTTCAGTGTAGTCACTGCTGAACTGTTTTTTGTCCCAGAGAATAGTTAATTAACAAAATATGTTCATACTGAAGGTAGGAAAGTAACAATTGAGCACACTGGTTCCAAGTAAGTCATTGAATATATTTGATAAAGTTGAAAATCAAGACAAATTTCCGACTGCCTCAAAAGTTGTACTCAGTAATGCATAAATACGTCGTCAAAACAAATTCAAAGTGAGAGAAAATTGATTGCTAGAACTGTACGGTATTAAAATGTATCGAAAATGCTGTATATCAACAAACGAAATGGAAGGATTAATGACAATCAACTAAAGTATAAACAAGGAGTTACATTTACTAAAATTTACTCTTAAGCTAACATAATCTTACATATTTATTTACTTCGTATCACTAGAGTAGTGAACAATTTACGTTCAGAAAGTGATTATTCATCATTCTTATACATGCGGACTTCATGTTTTTGTAAACTACAACTCCCTACATTACATTGTTATCCTCTGTTCTATTCTGTCAATGTCATCTCGTTTGTAATAAATAAACTTACTAATGTGAATAAATTACTGTAGCATTTTAATTTGATCAATTCATCATCATCAACGACTATACGAAATTATATTCACAGTATACATTTCAATCAACACTTTGATTTGAGAGAATCAATTTTACTTATTCACCTTGTGAATAGCATTCTCATTCCATGAAAAATTTGCTATTTGGATAATCATAGTTACTCATTATGCGTTAACTCATATGAATTATGCGTCAAAGATATTAGTCAGAAATAGTATTAAATATCAGCAATGGAAAAATGTTCAGTGCAGTGATTTACAGTAGGTAGCGAATTTACGATTGATCATAGGATTATTAAATAAGTAAATTCTTTAAACCCTACTGCTTTAAATACATAAAGAAACAAAATTGCATGTATAGTGAAAGTTTGACGATCAAAAATAGTAAACACTCATAATGAACTGTGTGCGACTATATAGGGCTAATTAAAATGGATATCTCGAAAAAAAAAACACAATTCGTATTTATTTTAAAAATGAAATAGATATTGGTTGGTGACCTTAATCATTTATTTATCCTTTCAATCACTTCATATTTTATATAACGCTAAATTATTACATGAGATTCATAGATGAAAAGTTTTAAGTAAAAAGGTAATTTCGTCATCTTCTAGGTAGAATTAAGCTTCGTAAATCAGTCGATACAATTGTTTCACATGAGTTCTTATTATAAACCAACAAACCAACTTCATCAGTACTCCAAGTAACAGTATACAACTTCGTGGTTCTTCGAATAATAAGAATTTGAAACACTATCTCTTCACAAGAATTAAAAACTTCGTCTCGATTAAAACTACGCAAGCTACTAAATCCTAAAGATTGTTAGTACCCTGTGTCGGTAATTGGAGTTTTACAGTTACATTCATCTCCTTTTTGTTGAACTTGGTTATACATTTTGTAATTTTAAGCATAAACCACCTCGTTGTTTTCTGTGGACTTCCATTGGCAGAACTCACTGAGTGATTTGATTCGTAGTTATGATTGTGCTATCAAATACATAAGTTGTATAAAATGACTTCGGTCGCTTTTTCCTAATATTGATTTTCTGATATTAATGAATCACTTGTAGATATGAATTCCCGGTATTGTTAGAATGATTTTTTTGGTAGAACTCAACAAAATGCAGAGATCCTATACCAGTATTGTACCAGTGACGTCCAAACGAAAATTGTTTTAATTAGAATAAAGTTCACTTTTGAATATTTACTGGATGATCAAAGATAACTTAGATCCTTTTAAAAATTGCAAATTCAATTTTGTTCGAGCATTGATTGTTGGACAAAAATTACGGGTGACCTGTCACGAGCATTTGTTTTCGACAAATTATTTCATCGTAGTTATAATACAAACCATCGTTTTAAATGACTCGTTTGTGTTTTTATAGAATAATGACTACAAATTTGTGGGAATTAGATTCTCAGCACAAAACACATTTCTTTTATTCACTTTGTCATTTAAATTCTTTTAGAGTTGACGCACTCGTCGTTGATTTTTCTGCAACTGGTTCCCTACCAGAAGATTCACTTTTAAACTTGGAATACTCAGAGGACATGGTCCTGTTTGCTGATCGCAGTGAAGCAACATTTTCTTCGGATTGCTATGATCAACACTGTAAATATG